TTGTCGAAGAAGTCTTTAGACCAGTTAATAGTCCACATGGAGCGATAACAAGCAATCAGTTGTAGTGTCAATGCAGGGTTAGGTTCCTGAGCGTTCACATACATCACCATGGTATCATCATCGGTGATTTCCTCCTCATCATCTCTATTAATTATTTCCTCTCGTACTCCAGTTTCAGCTTCTGTGGTAGCCACAAGTGGAGAAGTACTTGTGTCAGCCTGAGAACCGCTTTCAGATTCAGCACTGTCCCCAGAGTCATCTGCAGATTGGTTACCAGCAGCAGTATCAGTTTGACTTCCCAAGTTTTCCCCATTCTCGGAACTACTACTTCTCTCTTCAGATTGAGAAGGAGAGTCCTGGAGAATAACTCTCCTAGCCAATGATCTAGTAGCCCGAGGCGAGTGATCTTCAGGTGTATCTCCACCTCAGACCCACTCGTTTTGGAGTCGTCATGACCCTCTGATTGTGAAGCGGTGACAAGAGCAGGTTTGTTAGCATTATTTCTTCTGGGACCCATTGTACCTGAGAAGCAAAACACCAATTCAGCACAATCATTAATAAAATGACAAAATAGCGGGTACTCAGACCTCCCCTGTGTAATATCAGCGTGACGCCTTGCCTTAAGAATGTCGTCACCCAATCTATCATCGGGAAGGGCCACAGAATCACTATACTAACAAAAACTAAATACCTAAAAAAAAATACAAACAAGGGAACTCTATGAGCACTTGAACAAGTCGTGGTATAAACCACGGACCGTGATGTCCCTCGTGGAGTTTAAATAGGATCAGAGTGCACAAGCAATTGTTGGCCATTTAACCAAAGGGATTTTAACGGAAGGTTTCACGGCCCGTGGAGTGAACCACAGTCCGTGATACTGCCCGTGAACTTTAACTGAAGACCACAGAGGGCTTGGTTGATTTTCAAGTGTGGTCTACGACAAGTTGCATGACCCATAATGTCTTCCACGGTCCATACAACCTGTCGTAGTCTTACACTAGGCAATAGGTCAGTCACTTTCTTCTCAACATCAAATTTTTGCATTTAATCCCCATTGTTGTACAAATACAGGAGCGTCTCATACTTTAAACCCTACCCTACTACTTATTCAACTAAATTAAGTAACCTAAATTTCACCACCTGACATACAAATTTGACCCCCCTGTGATTGACCAACACACAAGAATAACACACAAGAATAACTACAAATTTCCAATTTCGACTTACCCACTTCAATTAAGTAATAGTTTAGCAATTAATCATCACAAATGCATACTGAAGTCAAGAAAATCGAAGTCAATATAGACAAGATGTAACGGTGCAAACTATTGAAACTCAACTTACTTGGATTGAAGAAACCAAAATGGGGAAATAGCCAGATTGAAGAAAATCACTTAGGGTTTGGATTCTTGGGTAGATGTGGGATTTATTGATGAATGATGATCAATTCTTCCTTAGATAACCGTTATGGAGGAGAAAAAGAGAGAAACTGACGTTTTGCCCTTTGGAATCAATATATGTTTTAATTTATGAGTTGGGTTACGCGCAGGTCGGGTCGGGTCATCGGTGTTACTGGGTAGTAGATTACGGGCCGTGAAACTTCTCATAGAAGATATCACGGTCTGTGGATTTGTTCATGACATTACCCTGGAAAAGAAACTTACCTTGGTGCAGACGACGGATCGTGAAGTTTCCCGTAAAAGGAATCATGGTCCGTGAAACTATCCGTGATGTTGACTTGGAACTGAGATTCCTACCTGAGGTTCACGAGAGGTTAGAGGCTCGTACAATATATGACGGACCGTGAACCCCTCCGTGAATGCTATTTTATGCAATTTCCAGTAGCTTCCAAATTTAATCCTCAAGTTGACGGATTGTGATAGTTCCCATGAAAATCTCTACGGTTTGTGATACTGACCGTGAAGTTCAGTCTGCACCAATTTCTGCATTTTTTCCCTTATTCTCTCCTGCACACCTCAGCACACAGTGATTCTATAAAAAAAATAAAGAAAAATAAGGAAAACGAGAACATACCTAATATAATTACATCTTGGGTTGCCTCCCAAGCAGCGCACAATTTAACGTCGCGGCGTGACACAGGTTACTTGATTACTTAGACTTCATCAAGTTTACATTCCTCCACAATTTTCACATCCTCAGGAGCACCCAAATATGGCTTGATTCGCTGACCATTAGCTTTGAACCTCTCGCCTTTCTCATTTTCCAATTCAATAGCACCAGATTGAAAAACCTGTGGGACCTTAAAAGGTCAAGACAATTTAGACTTCAGTTTTCCTGGAAACAGACGCAGTCTGGAGTTGAAAAGTAACACCAAGTCACCAGGAATAAAGATTTTTTTCTCAATATTCTTGTCATGATATAGCTTCATCCTCTCCTTATACAGTGCAACCCTCTCATAGGCCCTCAGACGGAACTCATCCATCTCATTGATCTGATCTAGCCTCAAGTTTGCGATTTCGCTCCAATTTAGATTCAGCTTCTTCAACGCCCAGAGTGCTTTATGCTCAAGCTCAAATGGCAGATGACACGCCTTTCTAGACACCAATTGATATGGAGACATACCAATAGGTGTCTTGAAAGCCGTCTGATATGCCCATAGGGCATCATCTAGCTTATGTGCCCAATCTGTCATGTTGGCATTCACTGTCTTTGCCATGATTGTTTTAATTTCCCTGTTGGAAACTTCCACTTGACCACTCGTCTGTGGGTGATAAGGTGTTGCCACCTTGTGTTGTTTTACTCCATACTTGGTCAGAAGTGCACTAAAGACTTTGTTGCAGAAGTGAGACCCACCATCACTAATAATGGCTCTGGGTGTTCCAAACCTTGAGAAAATGTTCTTTTTCAAGAACCCAGCGACACTCTTTCCATCATTTTCAGGTAATGCAACAGCTTCAACCCATTTGGACACATAGTCCACAACCACCAGTATATATTTCTTCCCATATGAACTCACAAAGGGACCCATGAAGTCATTACCCCACACATCAAACAATTCCACCTCCAGAATAGGTGTCATGGGTAACTCATGGCGCCGAGAGATGGCTCATTGCCGCTGGTACACATCACAGATCCTTACTTTATCCACTGCATCTTGATGAATTGTAGGCCAGTAATACCCACACTGAAGTATCTTGTGAGCTGTTCGAGCACCACCATGATGACCACCAACTGGAGATGAGTGACAGGCCTCCAAAATGTGCAACATTTCGGCTTCCGAAGCACATAGCCTAACTATATTGTCAGCACACAGCCTGTACAGATATGGTTCATCCCAAAAGTACTTGTCTACATCATGCAGGAACCTTTTCCTTTGCTGATATGTTAGTCCCACAAGCATTAAATCACTGACCAGAAAATTAGCATAGTCAGCAAACCAAGGAATAAGGTCAAGAGTAGCAGTTAATACCTGCCCATTCGGGAATGTGTCATCTATCTCGAACTCAAGTTCTTCTTTCTTTGCAGCTTCCAACCTAGGCAGGTGATCAGCTACCTGGTTCTCACAACCTTTCATGTCTTTCACTTCGAAGTCAAACTCTTGAATAAGCAATACCCATCGGATCAGCCTAGGCTTGGCATCTTTCTTTGCCATGAGATATCTCAAAGCAGCATGGTCTGTGTGAACTATCACTTTAATGCCCAGAAGATAAGCTCTGAACTTTTCTAAAGCATACACTACAGCCAATAGTTCTTGTTCAGTGACTGTGTAGTTTCGTTGTTCCCCATTTAGTGACTTACTAGCATAGTAAATTGGATGGAACATCCTGTTGCGCTTTCGTGCCAATACAACTCCTAACGCAATCCCACTAGCATCACACATCACCTCAAATGGCTCCGCCCAGTCTGGGCCAATAATCACTGGTGTTGAAATCAGTTTCTCTTTTAGGCACTCAAAAGCTTTAAGGCATGTCTCATCAAAGACAAATTTCACCTCCTTCTCTAAATGTTTGCACATGGGGTGTGCAATTTTTGAGAAGTCTTTGAAGAAACACCTATAGAATCCAGCGTGTCCTAGGAAGCTTCGAACACCCTTCACACAGATTGGTGGAGGTAATTTTTCAATCACCTCAATCTTAGACTTGTCGACCTAAATTCCTTTATATGACACCTTGTGTCCAAGGACTATGCCCTCTTTTACCATGAAGTGTCACTTCTCCCAATTTAGCACTAAGTTGGCTTCCTCACATCTGTGTAAAGCCCTGCTAAGATTCAAAAAACAGTCATCAAAAGTATCGCCTACTACAGAGAAGTCATCCATAAATACCTCTAGAGTTTCCTCAACCATGTCTGAAAAGATGGACATCACACACCTTTGAAATGTGGCCGGTGCATTACATAGTCCAAATGGCATGCGTTTAAACGCAAAGGTGCTATAAGGACATGTGAAGGTGGTCTTTTCCTGATCTTCAAGTGCAATTGATATCTGGTTGTAGCCAGAGTATCCATCTAAGAAATAGTACCAGCTTTTACCTGCCAACCTATCAAGAATCTGGTCCATGAAAGGCATGGGGAAATGATCCATCAAAATCCACTTGTTCAGCTTCCTGTAATCCATGCACACTCGCCATCCAGTGACCGGTCTCTGCAGACTAATTCATTCTTGGCATTTGCCACCACAGTCATGCCTCCCTTTTTAGGCACACATTGCACTGGACTAACCCAGTGGCTATCAGAAATAGGGTAGACCACCCCAACATCTAACCATTTGATTATTTGTTTCTTAACCACCTCTTGCACAGGTGGGTTCAATCTCCGTTGGTGTTCAATACTTGGGCTGCAGTCTTCCTCAAGCTAAATCTTATGTGTGCAAATACCTGGAGGTATCCCGATTATATCAGCAATGGTCCATCCAATGGCTCTTTTGTATCTTTTAGCACCTTGATCACCTCTTGTACCTGCTCTTCATTCAAATCTACAGCCAAAATCATAGGTAAAGTGTTATTAGTACCCAAGAATACATACCTGAGGTGATTGGGTAACTATTTCAGCTCTAACACTGGTGGCTCCTCAATGGATGGTTTCGCTGGAGGACTTGGCCTATTTTTCACGTCCAAGTCCAATTTCTTTGGAGCATACAAATGTGCTCCCATACCCTGCAAGGCATTCACGGTCGCTACATAGTCAGACCAGAAATCCGCATCAAAGTTCATCAGTACTGATGCTAATGTTTCAACAGCCATTCTCTCTTCTATAGGTACCATCATGGCTTCATCAGTGACCATCTCTATTGTAGATATCACATTCATATCTCGTGGTTGTTTCATTGACCTGCAAATATTAAACCTTACCTCATCTGTGTTGAGTCTGAACTTCAACTCTCATATGTCAACATCCACTAAAGCTTTTCACATCGCTAAGAAGGGTCTTCCCAAGATGATGGGAACCTCAAAATCCACTTCGCAATCCAGAATCACAAAATTAGCTAGAAAAATGAAAGTGTCCACCTTTACCAGTACATTACACAGGATTCCCACCGGCTTGTTTACTGACCTATCAGCCATCATCAACCTCATTGTTGTAGGTTTTGGTACTCCCAAACCTAACTTTTTATAAATGGCTAAAGGCATCAGATTTATGCTAGCTCCCAGATCGCATAAAGCTTTTGCAAACTTGATTGACCCAATGGTGCATGATATTGTGAATGCACCTGGATCCTCCTTTTTCTGCACCAGAGATCTGGTAGCAATGGCACTTCAATGATGAACCTCGTTAGAGAAATCATGACTTACAGCTCTTTTCTTGGTAACCAAGTCTTTCATGAACTTGGCGTATCCTGGCATCTGTTCTAGAGCTTCAACCAATGGAATATTTACTAAAAGTTATTTCAGTATTGTAATGAATTTCGTAAACTTTCCATTTCCAGCTTTCTTTTTTAGCCTTTGAGGGAAAGGAGGAGGTGGCCTGGGAATCTGTTGTAAGGGCAAGTGTTCCTGAACCTCTTTCTCTTTTCCTCTTGAAGGTTGTAGCCTCCACCATCTCATCTACCTGTATATTCTCATCCTCCTCTCTGCTAGCTAGCTCCAAGACCTGTTCATACTTGCTACCTGTAGAAATAGGGTCAGAAAGAACTTTACCACTCCTGGTGGCAATGACCATGCAATGTCCATCATTCTTGGGATTTTGAATGGTATCACTTGGTAGTGATCCATTCTTCCTCTGTTTAGTTGAACGCTCAAATGTATACCCAAGCTCTCCTACCTCTGCATCTCTAGTGTACCATGCTTTGTTGTTCTTTGAGACTTCATCTAATAGCTGCATGCTTTCTGCAAATGGCTTTCTCATAAATGAGCCTCCACAAATTGCATCAACAACAGGTTTAGTAACATAATTCAGAGACCTCTAAAACGCCTGCTTAAGGTGCCTTTCGGTAAGATCATGGTTGGGGCATTTCTTCAACTTTTGGCTGAACCTCCACCAAGTATCATGCATTGCTTCTCCTGGTAGTTGCTTGTGTGTACTAATCTAGTCCTTCATCTGCAGCTCTTTTGATTCTAGGAAGAATCGTTCCAGGAAAGCTTCCTTCAACTCATTCCAAGTTCTGATGGAATCATCTGGCATTTCATTCAACTAGTTAGTCGCCTGTCTAGTAAGAGACAATGGAAACAACCTCAATCTCATTACTGTTTGGTTGACCCCAGGAATTTTTTGTGACTTACAGATAGCCACAAAATTCATCAAGTGTTGATTCACATCATCACCAGTTGCACCCCTAAACACACCTTTAACGTTCAACAATTGAATCATAGTGCTGGTGATTGTGAACTTAACACCTGGAGGTAATGCAGGTAACACTATCACTCCAGTGGCTCCAGCACCATCCAGATCTGCATTATCTTTATCATATATCATGTGCGCTGGATGCTGAGCTCTACCCCTTTGGGCTATTGGTTGGCGCTGGGGAGGGATCAATTTGTCTACTCATCTATTCTCATCTACCACCCTAGGTTGGTTGTTACCACCATTCTGCTGAACACCTCTTATGGCGGCTTCAGCTTCTAGTCCCAATCTTTGTCTTTGTGCCTCCAGTTCTTGTGCATTCACCATTTTTCAAAGAGTCTTTTCGAGTTCTGAGTTGTAAGAGATCAATGGAGGTCCTTTACTCCTTATTCTTGGCATACACAGTAATGTTCACCTGAAAGAGACACAAACACAGAACAAAAAGTAAAATTAGGAAATATAACTACAAATTGAATAAAATCTAGTAAAACTCTTCGGAATTGAAATTCCCCGGCATCGGTGCCAAAATTTGATATGTCAAAACTTACACCCCATATAAGGAATATAAACGGTCGTTGTCAATTTACAGAACTCAATCAATGTTGAGGTCGATCCCACAGAGAATTTTTTTACAGATAAAGTTTCACTGTCGCGTTTACTCAATTATCGGTATTATTTCCTAAACAATTAACAAGGAAAGTGAATTTGGGTCTGATTGAAAAGTATTCTAGTAAAACTTAGTTATGCAGTTCACAAAAGATCTTGTTGTAAGTTGATTCAATCAATTTAAGGAAACCAAGTTTTGTGTTCACTATGACATCGATTATAATGCTCTCCCGTAAAATTAGTGTCAGGTAAATCAATGTTTACAGAACCTTTGTGAATTAAATAAATCTAACGCTTCTCAGCCTAATTAGATAATATTCACTCTAATTCTCTCGAACTTAAAGTGTTATCGATATTGGAATTCGCTTAATTTGATATGGTGTTAAAGATCCTTTCTCTCGAAATCCAACTTTAACTTAAATTCGTAAACTTAGTTTAGCTTTTTCCCAACTAATGCTTTTCTCTCGAACAAACACCAGTTACAGGCCTGTCTAAAGCGTGCACTTAATAGACTAAAATGATAATGAAAGCTGTAAACTACAAGTTGTAAACAAATACTGCCTTTTACTCATTTTACGAAATTGCAACTAGAATGTCATTATAGATCCCACACACCCAGTCGTGACGTTTAGCCACTTATGTTTTTACACAAAGAATCAATACTCGATAATGAAAACATGTTAAGAGGTACTTACAAAAATAACTGGTAAATAAACAACCACTTGATAATCTCAAGATCGAAAAGAACAATTTCCAACCGATGACGATAATCTAAATCCCAAAATCTCAAACTCAAAGTAAGCCTTTGTTCTTCTTTTTTTCTCAAAAAATCCGATGATAAATCCCCCCTTCAAAATGACCTAAAGTAATTCAAAAATAGAATGTTTAAAATGAGTCCTAATCAAGTTAGGACTAAATTGTCGGGCCTTGTCACAGCCACTACCACAACCCATCGAGGTCTTCACGATCCGTGAAGACCTCCGTGGTTTTTCCTTGGAGCTTCCCCAGAGTGGGTCTTCAAACTTGGTCACTGGAAAATGTATCACGAGAGCTACCACAGTCCGCAGTGAGGACCACAGTCCGTGAAGTCACCTGTGGTCTTCACTTGGGCTCAACCTTCTTTCAACTCTTTCCTGCTTTTATACTGGTTCAGCTTCACAGTAGGTACCAGGGTCTGTGGTAAGGACAACGGCCCGTATACCCCTCTGTGATCTTCACTTAGTTATTCTTGTTTTTCATCTTCTCAAGGCCTAGTTTTGCCCTACTTTCACGAGCTTAACCACGGACTGTTATGAAGTTAACGGTATGTTACATTGGCCGTGAACTTCACTTGGTCGACATCAATTCTGCTTCTTTTTCTGTACAACCCAAATTCTGCCTACACAATTAACAAACTCATCAAATATTCCCAAATTATCACTTAATTCCAAGTATTATTTCATAGTTATTAAGAATCAAATGTGACACAATTTCGTGGCACATAAGTGGTTCACTGACACCGTGGTTTTAGGTACCGATACACCGGTGAATAAGATCATTCTATCCTGGGAGGATATATTCCATTAACCTACGGTACTTGAGGGGAATAATTTTCTTAAGGGGACACTGTGCATTCAGTGAGCTCAATTTTCTTTTGAGAAAATATTTATATATTGTTTATAATCTATTTCTGATTCTATTTTCTCTAATTGTTTTAATTTTCTAGTTTGAAAATACTCTTTAAACTTTGTTGTTTCTTACCAAGTTCTTCAAAGTTTTGTTCTAAGTATCTTAGGAATACAAGATGAAAAACATTAATATATTCAGTAATATGATGTCCCTTCGGGAACCTCCGATAAAATAAATGAAATCTAACAAGGATAACTTGTACCCAATCTTACATTTAAGGACATCTAAATAAAAAAAAATACAGTTAGCTAGGATAGATCGACTAAAGGTAAGTCAAAGTTGGAGTAGTAGATTGCATGCGCCAGGTGATACAAGTCATAGAGCTAGAGGATCTATTTATTTATTTGGGTGAAGAGAACTAAGATCTAACTACACCACGAAAGATTGGTGAAATGGTCGGATGCATTTCTGTATTTATACGAGTTTGTATTATAAATTTTTCTACTTAATCTTTTACTCATTGGACCCTTTATAAACTCAATAAAACACAATACATCAAACCCACTATGACCATGCTTATGTGGCATTAAGATGGGTGAGTTGGTGAGAGAATGTGACTACACGCGTGTAAAGGCAAGTAACCACCATATTTAAATTTTAAAAAATATTAAAAGTATAAAATAATAAAATGGTAATTTTTTTTAAAAAAAAAACCTTTTTTTTCACACTCCTCACCTACTTTTTCCGCCATCCTTGTCCCTGCCCAACACCTTTTTTCTTTCTTTCATTTCTTTAGGCGGTCTGGTATGCTGGAGGCGGCAAGGAGTCTCTTGGCATATTGTTGGTACGACAGAGAAGATTGAGAGGATAAGCAGTACCTAGTGGTTCATAGGGGGTTGTCGGTGGTGCGGAGAAAGGGACGAGGAGCTACTCATGGCGGCGAAGAGATTTGGCAGCGGGAGTTGGTGGTGCGGCGCTTAGGATTTCTAGATTTGTGGAGGTTGGAGAAGGAGGAAAGGAAAACGGTGAGGATGTGCAACGAAGATGGAGGCAGGTTAGGGAGAGACTATTTGTGGTCTCGCCAACAAGAGCAGTGGTGGCGGCGATGACTTTCTCCGGCAGAATTTGGCCATTTCATGGTGGAAATGGTGAGAAGATGTGTGGAGATCTAAAATTTTACTTTAAAGAATAAATTAAAATTTTATTATTTTACCTTTTATTTATTAATTTTGGTTAATAATTTTTTTAAATAGTTAATGAAGATTATTATGACATGTTATTAATTTATATGTCATGAATTTGACATATCATCCATTTAAGGGCGGGTGAACTACACACATGGTAGAAGAGGTTTTAAAATCTTCTTTTGATTGAGTGTAAGAGTTTTGTTGATAGAGAATTGAGTATAAGCGACCATAATACAAACTCACACAAGAAAAACAAGAAAAATGGTCCATTAGACCATTTCATCCGCGGGATTTATGTAAAATGCCTAAATTATTAATAAATAGATATAGATATCAACTTTAGCTTCAAATTTATCCAAATTGACTTTTTTTAAATCTAAAATAGGAATAAGACTGCACGTACACTATTTTCCTCACATGACTCAGCATTGGCTCTTGTATGAAGCAAGTAGGGAAAATGCAATATTGGGGCGTAGCACTTTTTACATTGGCTTATGCAGTTGGTAAGCCCTTACAACTTGACATGGCTACTATTAACAAAACTCGCCCAAGTTGCGCAAGAGTAAAAGTACAATTGGACGTGCTTGGGGAGAGACCTCAATTTGAACAAAATGGAGATAGAGGATGAGAACACTAATGCAACAAGATCAGTAAAGGTCAAGATTCAATATGATAACATTACATCATACTGCAGGAAGTGCAAGCTTCAAGGTCATATGGAGGATGAATGTAGAATACTTCACCCTGAGCTGAAAAAGACAACAAGCAATCCTGAAGAGGAAACACAACAAGATCAGCAAAGAAGAATGCGGAATGGAAAATGTGTTGGCAGTGGAAAATGGATACCAACAACCAGAATTTTTACTCTAACCAAAGATATTGAACAACCAGGTGGTCCTGCAAAAGACAAAAATGGGGATGTAAACACTTGTAATCCTTTTAAAGTGTTGGCAGATAACACAAATAATGAAGTGAATGACATAAACAACAAGGATGATTGTATTTTAACAAATCCTACAAAACAAAAGGAAGAGAATACAAGAGAATGAGTTGATAAATCTTTTAAAGAAGACTCCAAACATCATATTACACCTTCAAAAACAGCTTCCAGTACCACTCCTAGTATTCATAGCAATGAGAAATCCAGTAAATGGGGAGATAGAG